TGCTGGTGGGAATGCAGACTGGTGCAGCCACTGTGGAGAACAGTATGGAGTTTCCTCAAAAAACTAAAAATGGAACTCCCATTTGACCCAGTGATCCCACTTCTAGGACTATATCCCAAGAAACTGGAAACACCAATCAGAAAGGATATATGCACCCCTAGGTTCATAGCAGCACAATTTACCATAGCTAAGTGCAGGAAGCCACCCATTGTCTTTACTATCAGAGAAGTATAAACAAAGATCCCAGAACACTGGTGAATCTTGAACCCATGGCAAGGGCCAGAGTTATGCACCGATTGTCTAATCCAGACAATGGGGGCAAAAGTTATTTCCTGATCACATAGTCTCAGAGTAAATCCTTCTAATATTTACTGACCTTTAAGATTATCTGTTACCGCAATTACCTGCCTAAGACCTAAATGTGTACCCAACATTGAATAAAAGGCTGGCGAAGCCTGGGCACCAGTGGAAGTCCTTTCTCTTGCATTGGGCTTGCCCACTGGCCCAATGTTTCCAAATTATTATTTCTTGTCTCGTCTCATTTGCGTGTGGCCTCTCCTCCAGTTCCTGAACCCTGAACTACGAGGGCCGTGGGAAAATTCACATCTGGCACCTCAAAGGGAAATCTGGAAGAGAAGACTTCCCCTAGAGCAAAAAACCAAGATTTATTCACTGGATAGGTGGGGACACCGGATATGTGGGATATTAACCACACGCAAAGCCCACGGCCAGCTGCAGAAATCGCGATCTCTAAGTAGAACGTGAGAATGTGTCTTTTTAGCCAGGCTAATGGGGCAGAATTCGGTTAAAAAGTGAGAAACTTTGTTGTCGGCTTTTGATTTGCATGCTTAAGGAATTAAAGTTTTAGAAGGTATTCTCTTACAGTTTTTGCATGTTATTGTAAACATAACCCTTGGTTTCCTGAAGAAGGTACATGAGGTCTTGAATGTTGGGAGAACTTAGTCAGAACTTGAAAAAAAGTTCAGCAGCAGGGCAAAAACTTGCCTCCAAACTGCTTCTCCTTGTGGAACATGGTATTGAATTTGCTAAAGCCTTTTAAAGAGACTAAGGAGGATAAACCGCGGGCTGAATGCTCAAAAATGAAATGCTGGCAGGGCTGGGACAGTATAATGACGTGCAAAATCAGCTAAATTATGTGCAGAATGCTTATAAGCAAATTAGACTTCGTGGAAAAACAGGACATTTTAAAAAAGAATGTAGGCAACCAAGAGGGACACAAGGTGGTGCTCCAGAGAAAGGTGCGAGCAATCTACCTGCCAATTAGATCAATGCATATTCAACCTCTTTTATGTCCTAGATATTAAAAAGGAAATTATTGGGTAATTATTATTTTTCTTGTTGTTTATTGTTAGTTTATTAAGCATGACGTTAATTTAATAAGAAAGAAATGATAGATGACCAGGCCATTGCTGAGTTTCCCCAGAACAAAAAGAATGCGGGAGTGGAGAGAGAAAGAATATGAGCAGTACACGTGGCCAATAATACAGGTTATAGAAAATTCTCTAGAAAAAGGGAATTAATTAAAAAATTACTAGGTCTCTTGGCGATCCTGTAAAATAGACGCCCACTCTCAAGAGTGTTATTAAGTCTCATTTTTGCCATGTTTTTATTACCCAGTCCGTCATTTGAAATTTAGACAAATGAAACATTTCCCAGAATTTGGGGATGCATCTGGGATTTCTGTAACCGTGAATAGAAAAGCAAGCTTAAGAAAATGCGCATACTCTGCCCGACTTCAGGTGACTTCCTGAGCCCCAATCTCTTCACGGATGCTACAGAATAACCCAGACTCTTTTCTTTAAAAAGGTGGCAAAAAAAAAAAAAAAGACGCAAAGAAAATATACAGTCTATATTTGGACAGTAGGGTTAATCCTTCCATAATTATAGGTAATTTAAAAATAATGTACCATATTCCAAGGTTGCCTCCCAAAATTGGGGGCATTC